AAAAAAAAAAAAAAACACCTCCTAAGGGTGGGCTAGATAAAAGCACAGAGTATCCTAATACAGTGATCAAATTTTAGACAAAACATATTCATTTCCAGGGCCTAGGAAACCCCACTATTTCATCTCTGTTTCTACAAGACCAAACAGGCTCTTTTACTTTCCAAGAGAAAACCCAGAGTATAATTTACAACAACTGAAGGAATAAAAACACATAGTTTACCTTCCCATCTGTATGGTTTGCCTCAAATAATTTTTCTTGATATATAAATCAATCTACAGAAATCTGACACCAGTCTCGGTCATGAAAAATGGTACACACCCAAAGACCAGAGGCCCACAGCAAGCATCAGCATTCACATGAGCCATATGAGCTTACCGGTCTTTGTCAAGATGCTCATCACTGATCACCAGAGCCATAATTGCCATCCTGTACATGTGATCTGATACGCTCTCTGGATTTTCAACATTTCTGTATACCCAGCCAGTACGTGGGACTCTCTGGTGAAAAGAAAAAGAAAAAAAAGTTATGAAGACAAATATTTGAAAAAGGAGAATTATAAGCCAAAATTTCTGATGAACATAGATGCAAAAATCCTCAACAAAATGCTAGCAAGTCAATTTCAACAATACATTGTTAAGATCACACACTGTCAGGTGGAATTTACTTTATTGATACAAGGATAGTTCAACACACACAAATCTTTCAATGTGACACATCACATCAACAAAATGAAGTTTTAAAATCATACGGTCATCTCAAGAGATGCAGGAAAAGTATCTGATAAGATTCGGCATCCATTTGTCATTAAAAATTATCAATAAAATGGGTATAAAAGGAACCTAAACATAATAGAGGTCATATAAGACAAGCTCATTGGTAATATCATATCCCTTGGGGAAAAACAAAAGGCTTTTTCTCTGAGATCAGGCACAAAACAAAGATGCCCACTCTCACCACTGTTAATTAATGTAGATTGGAAATTCTGCCAGAGCAATTTGGCAAGAAAAAAAAAATTATCCAAATCAGACAGAAAGAAGTAAAGAGTCACTTCTTGTGGGTGGGATAGTACTCAGAGAAAACCCTAACAATGTCATCAAAACACTACGAGAAATAATGAATATTGTAAAGATGCACGTTATAAATCAATACACAAAAATCTGTTGTGTTTTTATATACAAACAACAAATTAGCAGAATGAGAAATTAAGACAACAATATCATTTATGATACATGAAAAAGAATAAAACACCTAGGAATAAATTTAACCATGGAAATGAAAGACCTATAAACTGAAAACTGCAATGCACTGCTGAAGGAAACTGCAGAAGTGAGAAAAGAAATGGAAAGACATCCCGAACTCATAGAACGGAGTAGATGGTCAAAATGAGCGTTTTACTTAAAGTAGCATACATATTCAATTCATTCCCTATCCAAATCCCAAGGGCATTCTTCAAAGAAGTAGAATAAAAAAAGTGACTAAAGATCTCCAATTTCCCAAACAGTCCTGAGAAAAAAGAACAGAAAGAGGAGGTATCAGGTTCCTTAACTTCAATCTATATACTACAAAGCTACAGAAATGAAAATAGTATGGTTCTGGAATAAAAACAGATGCATAGATCCATGGAAAGAGCTCAAAGCTAAGAAATAAACCCATACATATAATAAAAGAGCCAATACCATACATTCAAGGAAAGGAAAATTCCTTCAATAAATGGTGCTAGGTAAACTGGACAACTACATGCAAAGAATGAAACTAGACACTATCTTACACCATATACAATAATTAGATAAAAATGAATTAAAGACTTGAATATAAGAGCTGAAAAAATACACACAGTTGGTAAGATCTTCAATATTAGCCTTTGTGATACTTTTATGGATTTCCTATTTTCAACTGTGGGAAAACAAAAGCAAAATGAAATAAATGGGCTACTTGAAAGTAAAATATGTCTACATTGAAAAAAGCCTCACTAAAATGAAAAGGGATCACACAGAAAAAGATATTTGCAAGCCATGTTATCAGGAAAAGGGTTATATGAACAACTCAACAACAAAACAAAACCATGATTGGAAAATGGGCAGAGGATCTAAACAGGCATTTCACAAGAAGACAGACACATGAAAGGGTGTTCTTCATTGCATAGCAGGTGTGTGTGTGTACACAATGGAATATTACTCAGCTATAGAAAAAGATAAAATCTTGACATTTGTGACAACATGTATGTGTATGGTAGGGATTAAGCAAAGTGAAAGAAGTCAGAAGGAGAAAGCAAACACCATATATTTTACTCATAGACGGAATATAAAGAAACAAATCAAAACAAACAAAAACCCCTTAGACTTTGACAACAGATGGTTATCAGAGGAAAAGAGGGCAGGAGGTGAGAGGTAGGCCTAGACAGTGATAGGCTGTGGAATCTTCTGCCCTCCGTATTCTTGGGAATATTGTCTTGGTGCCCAGAGTTCCTGCATGTCAACTAGGTGTAGGGTCACGCAGGGGGCCTCCTACCAAAATCCTGGTATGAGGAACATGCTGGAAACCCAGCATCTGTTGGTAACAGCAAGCAGATAATAGGAAAGAGAGAAGCTTAGAATGGCAGGGAAAATAGAGCGACAGGGGAAACAGACCCCATCCCTCCACCCTAGCTTACATCCCAAATCCCCTCACCCATGCATGGATACTCCCCATACACTTGCCCTTCTTTGGGATCGGCACATTACTTCCCCTGTAGCCCCTCCACATGTCTCACTGCTCCAGATGGACTGTGAGTAAGCTTTCCCTCAGCCCATGCTGAGGCCAACACTGCCCCCCAAGCAACAATGGATGTAAGGAGGCCCTTGGGGTCGGGCATGGTGTGGTATTCACTATCAGCTATGCTCTTCAACAGAAGCCCTGGGAAGGAGACACAGAAGCAGGGTCATGGTTTCAGAACTTACTTAAAAATGTAAAATCAAGCAAAATGATTGACTTGTGCAATCAGATAAATCAAGGAGGTCAGAGAATGGGCTGTGGGGAGTATACCGGATATTGTGAAGTATACAAGAATTCAACAGTCAAGTTATTCTGTATGACTAACATAAAAAAATGTATAGATTATGTAACAGATACAAGACCTTTAGACATAAAAGACAAAACGGTAAAGTACCTTATCTTTCATATCTACAGAAGGTAGGATATTTTGGGCTTCAAACAATCCACACTAGACATATGTAGAAAACATTGTGGTGAGTGCTTGCACTTGACAAAGTGACAAACTTCCAAATTCTGAAGAATGGAGAAAAAAGCATGTCTGACTGCATCATGCATAAAGGAAGTCTTGACTCCTTTATTCTGATCCTGATGTGCCCCTGTGAGACTAAAATTTTCTCCTCACAAGTTTCTTTTCTAGGGCCCTCCTTGGTGGCGCACAGGTTAGGACACAGCACTGCAAGCTGGCCGCAGCCACCTCAGCATGAGTTCGACCCTGCCCAGGAGGTGACCACATGGGTGGCAGACCTCTGCTGACCCACCCGCTGCTCCCCTCAGCACTGTACTTCGTTTTATCTGCCAGTTCTGCTCCCCACTCTGTCTCTGGTGAATCCTTTCACCGCCCCTGCACCTCTGGCTTCTACCCCAGTTCTGTATGAACAAATAAGTATTTTTTAAAAAAATTCTTTTCTAAAGACTTGTATAAACAATAATAGTAGCGGCATGAAACAGATAAGTTGCTTTAAAGAGAAATTCTGCAAAAATCACAAACTGGGGTGGGTGGTAGGAAACGTGATGATGTAACAACTAAAAATACTTTTTTTTTTTTAAAGATTTATTTATTTATACATACAGAACTGGGATACAGGCCAGAGGCTCAGGGGCGGCGAGAGGCTTCACCAGAGACAGAGTGGGGAGCAGAACAGGCAGATCGACTAAGTACAGTGCTGAGGGGAGCAGCGGGCGGGTCAGGAGAGGTCTGCCACGCCATGTGGTCACCTCCGGGGCAGGCGGGGAATCGAACTCATGCTGCAGTGGCTTTAGCTTCTTAGTGCTGTGCTTTAACCCGCTGCGCCACCAGGGAGGGCCTAAAAATCCTTTTTTTTAAACAACAACAACAACAAAGTTTTGTTTCCGATTTCTGGGAGTTACTATGAGATTTTCAGCACGCCAATAAAATCTGCAGGCCCAATGGGTTCTGTTCATCCCACCATTCAGAAGCCCATGCCCCCCAGCCCATTTTGGGGATCCTGAGCCCCAATGGACTGAGGGCAGAGGCGGGTCAAGGTCTGGCAAAACCGCGCCGCCTGCTGTCCAAAAGCCTCCTGCACTGTGCCAGGGCCGACACAAGATGCTCGGGATTAGACCGCGCCAGGCCTAGGGTGCGCCCCTTCGCGCCAGCCTCGCCGGTTCGCGGACTCGCTTTCTCCTCCCGCCTTCCGGCCTGTTCCCGGCCCCAGCTGGCGGCCGGGAGGGCGGAGGGCGGTGATCGCCTCGCAGCCCGCGGCCGCGCTGGCGCTCCTAGAGCACCCGCTTCCCGGGCGTCCAGCGACCCGGCCCGGCGCCCGCTCACCTTCAACTGCCCCACTAGCCGCAGAAGCTGCAGCAGGTTCCGGGCCCCGCCGCCCCCAGCTGAGGCTGAAGCCATGGGTCACGCTCCAGTCAGGCCGCAGCAGGCCGCGAGGCCGCCGCCCGAGGCTCCGCCCCCGCTAACTCCTCCTCTTCCTCCCTTGTCCCTGCTCTTGAGGGTTTTCATGCCACCGGCTTCTGTCTAGTTTTCTACCTTACTGACTTTTGGCCTTGGGCAGCGCCCTACCATGCAGACACAGAACTTGGTGCACGCTGGGTCCTCATTACTCATTTGTAAAACCGTGGAACACCTAAGGGGATTGCAGGAGGGACGAGAACCGAGCGCTATGGCACACTGCACCAAAACCCTTCAGCATCTGATTGGGGAAAGAGAGATGGAAATCTACTTTAATAAAGCAGGCAAATTACATTTAAATAGAGGCACAAGAAAATACCACGGCGGGAGAAACTAATTAGTAGCAACAACAACAAAAAAGTATTGGGAGGACTTTGGGACTAGTCTTAGCCAAAGGATTTGGAGATAACAAAGCAACCCCGTGCTGAAGGAAGAATCCTTTACCCCAAATAAATGGCCAGCATGTGCCCCAATTGCCTGTCTTAATTCCACCAATAACCATTGCTACTCATTTCTAAAGGCTTGCAGTGGAGGTGCATACTGAAGGACTCAGGGGTGGAAGGTAGTGAGGACAGACTGACCATATGGGGCAGTGAGGCCCTAGGCAGACCAATTAAGAGATAATTGAAATTATTATTATTATTTTTGGTAGATTTTTTTTTGTTCATCTGGTGAGGTGTTGTGAATTTTGTATACAATGTGAAGGTAGAACGAACACAATTTGTGACATATGGAGAAATCATAGATGATTTCACACATCTCTAGTTGCTTGACCAACTAGAAGGTTGGGGTCGCTATTTAGTCCAAGAGAAAATAAGAAGGGGGCTGGGAGGCAGGTGGGCTATCTGTCTGTTTGGGAGAAATGCCAAGAAGAGGAGCTTTGAGCAACACTGGGAATTGGAAGGTTAATTGGGATATGTTGAGATAGCTAATAGAGATGTAAATCTGTAAGTCAGGGAAAGGTAAAAATTTTGTATCATCAGCATATAAGGTAGGTTATAAAAATCACAGAAATTGGATGAGATCACTTCTCAAGAAAGTGTGGGTGACGAATTAAAAAGATGTCTAAGGTTTAAGTCCTGTCTAAGGGTTAAGCCCTGGGGCAACCCAAGAGTGAGAAGAAGCAACCAATGAGGTAGAAAAAGTGAAGAGATAATTATGTCCTGAAAACCAACTGACAAAAATATTTCAAGAAGGAAGGTATGTGAAGTTAATGTTCTGATAGAACATTGAGATCTGACTACCAGAATCAGCAAATTCAGTTGGTGACCGTGACAAGAGCAGATTAACCTGTGGTGGGGTAAACAGAACCCCTTCTTGCTTCAGCGAGAACTGAGTCAGTATTGCATGACTAGGGGAGAGATTTTTTTTTTTAAGATGTATTTATTTATTTAGACATACAGAAAAGGGGTACAGACCAGAGGTGCATGGACGGTGAGAGGATTCACCAGAGACAGAGAGTGGGGAGCAGAACATGCAGATCAATGAAGTACACTGCGAAGGGGGGTGGCAGACAGGTCAGGAGAGGTCTGCTGTGCCATGTGGATCACCTCCTGGGCGAGGATTGAACTCATATTGAAGTGGCTGTGGCCAGCATGCAGTGCTATGTCCTAACCCGTTACGCCACTAGGGAGGGCCAAGGGGAGAGATTTTAAGACAGAAGAAATTATAATGTGTTTATTTATTGATGGAGGTGAGCTAGTAGAGAGGCACAAATTCCTTCTATAATAGACAGAAGAGAGAAATGCTGGAATGATGTCCTAAAGTAGATATGGGAGGATGCAGTTTAGTGTACAAGATGCAAGACCGGCCTTAGTGGAGAATTCATCCAGAAAACAGAAGGAATGAACAATATATGGTGACTAACTAGTAACAGATGGAGGTTATAGAATTATCATCAGATTGTTTTATTTCCTCACTTCAATAGGAAGCAAAAGTTAGGCTAGATTATATTGTAGTAATAAGCAATCTTTGTATCTCAGTGGATTAGCATATTAATGTTTTATTTCTCTCTCAAGCTAAACATCTACTATTTGCCAAGTATGGGATGCTTCTCTAGTCTCTTTTAGGAAGCCAGGTGTATTGCTAGGTCTGAAATAAAGAAAAGTGGCACCCTGCCTCTTAAAGCCTGTCCCTGGAAGCAATATATGGCCCTTTATCTAATGTCACTGTTTATAATAGGTTATACTGCTACATCTAAAGTCAAAGGGAATGGAATTACAAGGCATTTGCATTACAAGGCAAAGGGGAATGGAAACAGATGGAATTAAATTTGCAATTCAGCTGAATTGAAAATAAGGACTCACTGGAGTTCCTGAATTATCCAGATGGGTCAAGTGTAGTCATACAGGTCCTTAAATATGAAAATAGGGTCAGAAGGGCGTCATGACCCCAAAGAGAGCACTCACCTGGCCATTGCTCACATGTTGAAAGGGCACTAACCTGAGACTGCAGGCTCTTTCACCAAGTTGGAAAAGAAAATTAGATTTGTCCTTTAAACCTCTAGAAAGTATAGTAGCCTGGTAATGTGTTATAGCAACAATAGAAAAGTGATACTGGGACTAGTCATATTTGAACCCCCTTTACCAACTACTTTCTTCACCTTGTTTTTTTGTTGAAGAATGGAAATTGTCAAGTCTGTTTTCTCTTGACCCCACCAGAGTCAGAGTGGGGAGCAGAACAGTCAGAGGTACTGAAACACACTGCTGAGGGCAGGTCAGGAGAGGTCTACCACGCCAGGGTCACCTCCCTGGCTGGGGATCAAACTCATGCCGCAGGTTGCTTCATAGTGCTATGCTGTAACTGTTACCCCACCAAGGAGGGCCCCCAACCAATGACATTTTCCTCTACCATCAGGGGAATTAGCAATCACTCAGTGGAACCAATTCTTTGCGCAGAACAGTGCCAGTTTAAAGCAATGGGAGGAACAATTTGGTGCCATTTACTTGAGTCAATTAGAAGAAAAAGTTACAATCATAAGGCTCCCACTGAAGGACTTCTTCAATTGGGCTCAATATACATTTCAGAGAATTGGGGAATATCCTAAAACTGTCCATGACTGTGTTGCTTATGAGAAAGTTCCTGTTTAACAGATCCTTGAAGGGGTCTGTAACCAGAATGGGGGGACCTGCTGCTGTTGAGAAAGCTGCTTTAAAATGCAGCTGTGGCTGGGTCCACGTTGCTCTGCTGTGAAGCTTTAAGAGTCATAATAAAATAAAGCTCACACCATTGAGCATTTGCACTGAGATAGTTTGTTACATATCTTGCCTCGCTTTACTTCTCCCAGCATCCTTTGAGGATCTGAATTATCCCACATTTCAGATGAGAAACTGACGCTGAGGAGATGACCTCAGCTCTCAGGGCTGGCAAACACCAGACACCAGATTGCATTCTTACCTGCCTTCCACCAGGCGGGTCTTTCCATGCCATCCTGCTGCTGACCAGCCAACTGGCCGCTGGCACCCACTTAATAGCATTGTGGAAATTAAGTTCCATGTATGAAATCATTTTCTAAACTGTTATTTATGTCAAGGATTAAGCAAGAGAAGAGATAGCAATGATCCATTGGAGCAAATGTGCCAGGAAACATTCATAAGCACTTTAGGAACTGACTAAAGTAGAGACCAAGTCTGCTTCAAATCCAAATTCTTCTTTTGCCTTAAGACAGCAAAGGAAGAACCCTTGCTTCTTTCTGCTACATCTTTAGAGATATAAAGGTTAACAGTGGGTTGATAGCAATGGTTCTTAAACTCAGGGTGATTATTGCCCTGGAAAGAATATTCGGGAATGTTGGAGACAAGTTTGGTTGGGGGGTGGGGGGAGGTGGAGAGAGAGAGAGATGGGGAAAGGACTAGAAGCATGCGCAGGCAGGCGTCCTGTGCACGGGCAGGGCGAGGCTGATACTAACATTTCTACAAAGCACACTACAGCCTCCCACAACAAAGAATTGTCAGCACAAAATGTCACTGGTGCTGAGGTTCATAAGCCACAATCTGTCCTACAGAAATGCTTATAATTAAACTCCTTATATTGTTGACATGTTATGAGATCAGCAGAATATCAACAGTATGTTTCAGTTACAGTGAGGAAATTAAGTAAACAAGCAAGTTTTGCTAGTAGATCCTCCTTGTAATGTAGCACAAAAGGGCTCCCAGGCTTTGCCCTAACAGGGCCTCTGGAAAGATGAGGGGATTAGAGGGTGACTTTGATCATTGATGTAAGTAGGTTAAGACAGAACAATTCAGTTCACAGAAGATAAATGTAAGATATTAAGTCTGGGAGCCAAGGAACAGTACAAAAGGAATGTTTGTTAAAGGGAAAGAGATCGGGCTTTGTTCTATTTTGCAACTCTTTTGCCTCTGGTGCTGTGTGGCAGTGCAGCAAAGACTCAGCGTGCACACCCACTTGCTCTACAAAACCAACCATGAACTCACTAGCTATGGGAGAGCTTTCTGCTAAAATGAGCAGCAACCAAATAAATCATGCCTGTGGTCAGTGAGGGTGATGGTGGTGATAGTGCTAAGAAAGACGCGCTACGCCTTCTTTCCAGTGAACCACCCAACTGGCTCCAAGTCCTAACGGCCAGTAGATAAGCGTCACCCCTGCCCACTGCTGGACTAGCATGGAGGAGCTCTACATGCATTAATGTAACACCACCACTTTGTTTATAATAACTAAGTCAGTAAGTAATCCCCTACAAAGTTTTCTGGTAAGTCCTCAAATCTTCACCACTGCTTATCACCTTCAGTAATGAAAAATGTTCATGATTATCAAGAATCTTTAGCAGCTTTATCACCCCATCTTCACAGTGTAGAACAGATTGGAATTTTTGCTCCTCCTGAGTGACCAAAGCTACGGCTTGACCCTGCCATTGGCAGATGTCGTGGGGAACAGGACAGAGGTTCCAGGTGACTTCACAGAGGACCTTGAAGCCTGCCACAGTTTTGGGGAGCAGCTACCAGGTGACCCTTCCAAGTTATCTTGA